TGGCAGGTGGGCAAATTGTGATATGAATTGTTATATTGTGTTGTCGTTTAAACATTCTCCTTGATGTTATTTATGCTTCATACCTTGCTTGTTAATGATATACATGTGCTTGGTAAGGAAGAATGTAAAGCACGAAGGGTGATGTCGTGCCATTTGAGAGTATAAAGCACGAAGGGTGATGTCGTGCCATTTGAGAGTGTAAAGCACGAAGGGTGATGCCGTGCCATTTCAGTTATATTATCATGTGAGAAAAAGTATAAAGCGCGAAGGGTGATGCCGTGCCATTCTTAATATGCACGAAGAATAATGCCGTGTTATTTTGTTTATATTATCATGTGCGGATGAGAGTAAAAGCACGAAGGGTGATGGTGTGCCATTATTTTGATATTATCATACGTTCATGGCACGAAGGGTGTTTCCGTGCAGGCGAGGACAAGAGACATATATTATATTGTGATATTTTTTCGTTGTGTATACATTCATGCTTTTATCTTGAGCTGTTATTGTGCACCTATATTTTCTATGTGTCTTGTAGTCATTGTTGCTTCTTGTGTGCCTCCCACTTTATTTCTTTTATTGTTATTGACATTTCTCCCACATAATTGGTACTGTTATATGTATGCATGATGAGAAAGAGATAAATGCACGAAGGGTGTTGCCGTGCCAATTGATTTGATCTACATATATATATATATATATCGGGTGAGAATGAGACAAGTGCACGAAGGTATTACCGTGCCATTTGATGTGATATGTTGAATATATTTCTCACACCAGGAAAGTTAAATGAGGTGTCACATGGTGACTTTTACTTAAAAAAATTATATTGGAAAGATATTTATTTGAAAGAATTATATTCGTAAGATATTTATTTGAAGGAAGTATATTCGGGATATATTTAATTGTACGGATTACATTCTAAAGATTTTTATTTGGAAAACTCATAGATAAAAGATGTATATTTTGAAGGACTTGATTAATTGGATGTACTTGTGTTTATTATTCGTTTGAGCAATATTTATGGTGTTTATGTTGCCTTGTTGTTTATGTCACAAGTTGATTATTATTGCCATCACTGCTATTTATTTTTTATTATTTTTGTATGCTATATTGCACAGGTTATTTGACTAGTGAGTGTATTGACTGTACCTCATCACTACTCTACCGAGGTTAGTCTTAATACTTACTGGGTACCGACTATGGTGTACTCATACTACACTTCTACACATTTTTGTGTAGAGGCAGGTATTGGAGATATCATATTCGGGTAGAGATTAGAGTGTGATCGCAAGGATTCAAGGTAGGACTGCTTGGTCGTCGTAGTCCCTTGGAGTCTTTCCATTATATTGTACTATAAACTCTTATTCGAATAGTATTGTATATTCGATCCTTGAGATTATCGCATGTATTCAGTTAGAGTTCGTGACTCTGTATTACCAGTCTTGGGAGGTGTTATAATTATATGTTTAAAAAAATGACTCGAAATGAAATTGTAATCGGCTTACCTAGTAGTAGAGACTAAGTGTCATCACGACGCCTGTGGTAGAATTTTGGGTCGTGACATTCTCCTTCTCTTTTGTGTGTTTATTTGCACCAACTTTCATATAACACATCTTACTATTGATTGTTTTAAGATAAACTATTGTATTCATTAAAATAATAAGTACAAAGTTAGTATTTTTTTACATCAAATTATTATATTAATTTATATTTATTACCTCAATTTATTATCTAACTATGATATTTATTACATTAATTATCTACTCCATGCTTCTATCTTTTCAAGTTTGACATGTTCACTAAAAGTTTTAATTGTTGCGGTCAAGACAACATAGTGATCAACTACTTTGATAGTACTTTAGTTTAATTGTTCATTTAATACAATTAGTTATCCTCTAGTTTTCTTGGATTTAATGTAGCGGTATGTTGATTGATTGATAATATAAAAAAGAAAATTGAAAAAGCTCGAAATTTGATTTCAAAAAGGAATTGTACAAATCAGAATTTCGATTTTGTGAAGGCATCATCCAAAGATTGTGCTAACTGCTATTTAAGAAAAATATATCACATATATTTTTTCTCCTAAATTCAACTGTTTCTATTTTCTCAATGCATTAATAGTATGTTATGTTGGTGATTTTGAAGAATTATGTGTTCTTTTAGATATGTTGATACTTTTCAAAGATCTGTTTTATTTCCTATGAGGATATTGACACGTTTGATATAGTTATGTTTTTAAAGTTGTGTATAAGCCAAAATCCGTTTCAGAATATTTAGCGTAATATGGCCTTAAAGAAAGTTATCGGTCGAGCTCGTTCAAGACGCAGCGAGGTCAATGACCGAGGTGCCGACATGAGTCGTGGTGAAGATATCGACGGTTATCACAATCAAGATATCAGCAAGGGTCAAGATCGAGATTGACTATTGATGATAAGACTTGCAATGGCTAATTTGTCAAGATAGGGTAATAAAAGGAAATGTTCTAATGAATATTCCCTGCATTTGTACTATTAGGGTTTCTTAGGAAAAAGGCCCCATATATATAGAAAGAAGAGGCAATGATAGGGGCATGTAATATTGACTCTCATAAGAACACTTAAAAGAAGACTCTATCTTGGGCAAAAACACAAAGGTTACCTTTACAAATATTCTTAGTGATATATTATTCCCCACCTTTCCATCAGATCCGAGGATTGTTCATGCGAATCCTGGATCTATCTATCGTTTATCATTGTCAGGCAAAATATTCATCACATCCATCCATTATTGGGTGAATCGTTTTCTTTATTTACTTAAATGTCATTTATTTGACATTTATTGTTAGCTATAATACCCTTAACGTCCTTGCTTTAAGAGTATTTTGCATTTATTGTCACCAACCATATACAAAATATGCCATATCTACTATATGTTTTTGTGCTTAATATCTAGAGTTATTATCCTTAGTTAGATTTAACTCCATACTACGTAAATTTAATAGTTTAACCGGAGATTATATTTTTGGTAAAATAATTTGGCGTCGTCTGTGGGAATTTTCTAACTAAGTCGTTTAGTTTCTTCAAGATCTACTACCGGCACTGGTAGCTGATGTAAAAAAAACGAAAAGAAGAACCTTTTTTTTTCTCTCTCTGCATGCACAGATCTAACATGGCAGGTAACAGAGAAGAAGAACGAGAATGATGAGTGACCTCCCAACCAACCTCATGGACATCATTCACGAAAGCTCTGAAGCAGTGGACGAGGACACAACGCCGAACACCTCCCCTAGCCGAGGTGGATCGCCCCTCCCAACTGCAGCATCATAAAGTCCCCCGGCAAGACAACCTCCACATCCATGGGAGAGGAGACATTGCCAGAGATAAAGAAACTCCTTGAGGCCTGACTGACTGATACACTAACCAGCGTCCTCCATAAACCCGCTCAGGACGCGGTTGTAGCAAATGCGAGAACCCGTGTTGCGCCACCAATAAACGAGCAACACGATCAGCCTCCCCCGCCCGCGATGACAGGTATCACTCACAATGTTGTTAACAATGCAGGCGATGATGCTCTCACAACCATTCTGAAAAGGATGGAAGAAATGGAAAATGAGAACAAGGCACTTCGGGGTCATATGAGAGAGAACCAAGAAAGAGTCGATAAAATACCGGGCGCTCCTAAGTTATTGCCGAAGAGATATACCGGTCGGTTCGTCAAGCAGCCATACAGTGATAGTGCTGCCCCACATTCCATACCAAAGACTTTCAAAATGCCGCCTTACCTGAAAATATACGATGGCACGACTGACCCCCGAGGATCATGTGACCCACTACGTCATCGCTGTGAAAGGCAATGACCTCGTCAAAGAACAAGTATCCTCCATTCTTCTGAAGAAATTCGGCAAAACACTCATGGGAGGGGCATTAACCTGGTACTCGTAACTGCCAGCTCGTTCCATCGAAACCTTCGAGGAAATGGACGATATGTTCGTGACGGCCCATGTCGAGGCCAAGAAGGCCGAGGCAAGAGTGAATGATATCTTTGCTATCAAACAGTCCCCAGGAGAAGGACTGAGGGACTTCCTCGCCCGCTTCAACTGAGTAAGAATGACTTTGCCCAATGTATCAGAGGGAATGGCGGTAGCCGCTTTTCAAAACGGGCTGTACAGAAATAGTTCAAGAGCAACAAGAGAATTATTAAGTCGGCTTATGAAGTACCCCCCAACAACTTGGGACGACATACTTAATGCATATTGTGCCGAAGTTCGAGCATACGAAGACGACATCAATGGGCCGACTCATCGACTTACCTTAGTACAAGCAGAACCCATAAAATATTGGAGAAGTGATATCAGAAGAGATCCAGCGGCCTCAAGGCCAAACCGGGAATGACATCTCCCATATGTCAGAACTACCGTTGTATCCTCACCTTGCCATGAAGATGGCCTGCCCCGATCAAGAACGGGGACTCACCGAAATGAAAGAGGTATGCCCCATTTACTATCTACTCACAAGTTTTGCATGTCACCTTCAGAGATCGTCTACGCCTTGGAGAAGCTCGGGCCCAAGGTTAAGTCGCCACAGAAGATGAGATCGAACCCGAATACCAGAAAATCAGATGCCCTCTGCGAGTTCCATCAAGAGTGAGGAAACAAAATCGAAGGCTGCATCGCCTTAAGATAGGGAGTCGTAAACATGCTGTGTCAGGCACACCTCAAAGAATTGCTGAGCGATCGGGGAAGGACCAACTTTTCCAGGGGACGCGAACATCAAGGGCCACCGAATCTGCCCTCGCCAGCCCACACCATCCACATGTTCATTGACGGTGGGGACGACGCTTCCGTCAATAGTGTGAAGTTCACCATGACCCACAAGCTCAAACGGTCGATCACCCATAAACTGTATGATGAACTCGAAGAAAGTATCATCTTCGATAAGTCAGATACCAACGGTTTGGCATTCCCTCACTATGATGCTTTTGTTATTACTTTACGAATTTTAAATACTGACATAAGACGAATCATGGTAGATGACGGGAGTTGCGTGTGTATTATCCATCCTCGAGTACTCACACTAATGAAACTCGAGGACAAGATAGTACCACGATGCATCACACTAACAGGCTTTAACAATGTAGTTGAACGAACATCTGACGAGATCACACTCCCCGTCCTGGCAGGTGGCGTCACTCTGGAGAGTGGAGACCACGTTCCACATCATGGACCAGGATACGACATACAACACCATAATAGGGAGACCGTGGATACACTCCATGAGAGCCATACCCTCCAGGTTGTACTAAGTCATCAAATTCCCAACTCCATGGGGCATATTCAGCATACGCGGGGAGCAACGCACATCCCAAGATTGCTACCGCATCGCCCTAGACTACACGGTTAGCCAACAAATGAGAGATAAAGAGAAACAAGCATAGCAATCAATAGGGTCAAGGTCAGTATGCGACGACATCAAGGACTTCATCAGAGACCCCGAGGTGGCCGAGGCCGCAGGGTCAACCATAGAGGACCTTGATCCCGTTAAGCTAGACGTTAATGACCACAGCAAAAAAGCTTACATCGACTGCAAACTCCAAGAACCGAGTAAGTTTCGTAAATTCCTAATTACTAACGCGGACCTGTTTGCTTTTAGCCATGCAGATATGCCAGGTATCCCAAAGGAGATCGCCACACACAAATTGAACGTCTATCAACTCTACCCCCGGTAAGGCAGGTTCGACGTAAGTTTAATTTCGCAATCAATGATGCAGTGCGTGAAAAGGTGGAGAAAATATTGGAAAATGGCTCCGTCAGAGAGTCGAAGTCCCCCCAATGGGTCGCCAACGTGGTCATGGTGAAAAAGAAGAATGGCAAGTGGCGGATGTGCGTAGATTTCATCGACCTGAACAAAGCTTGCCCCAAGGATTCGTTTCCACTACCTCATATCGACCAGCTCATCGATGTGACAACCGGACATGAGTTTCTGAGTTTCTTGGATGCCTACTCAGGCTACAACCAGATCCTTATAGAGGAAGAAGACTAGTAAAAGACCACCTTTATCACCCACCAGGGGATGTACTGCTACAAGGTCATGCCATTCGGATTGAAAAATGTGGGGGCAACTTACCAAAGGCTGGTGACGAAGATGTTCAAAGAACAACTCAGAAAAATGATGGAGGTATACATCCACGACATGCTGGTCAAATCCAAAAAGAAAAAAGATCACATTGACCATTTAAGAGAAGCCTTCGGCATACTCAGGCAATACGGAATGAAATTGAACCCCGATAAATGTGCATTCGGCATGGCCTCAGGGGAATTCTTGGGTTTCGTAGTGTTGCAGCGGGATATCAAGGTCAATCCCGATCAAATTAAGGGCATAGAAGGTATACCCGAGCGCTTGACCCCCAAAAAGAAAGTCCAGAAACTGACCGCCTATATCGTCACTCTGTCAAGGTTCATCTCGCGGTCCTCTGATAGGTGCCACAAGTTTTTCAGCATACTCAAAAGGCGAGTGGCCTCCAATGGACCCCTGAGTGCGTACAAGCACTGAAGGAGTTAAAGATGTACCTGTCCTTGCCACCGTTGCTCTAGAAACCGAAACCAGAACAGCCTCTCCTCGTCTATCTCGCCGTGTCCGATGTCACGACCCAAAATCCATAAAGGTCGTGATAGCGCCGGACTCCACTTTTAGGAAAGCCAACACTAAATAGTTAATTAAATTCTCATTTTAATATTTTTGAAACCGTAAATTTACTTCAATTTATCTAGAAAAAAATGAATTTACAGAATAAATAACAATGTTTTCTAATTCCAATAGTGAACATCCCATAAACATTCCAGAACCCGGTGTCACAAGTGCATGAGCCTTTTATAGAAATTTAAAATAACATACAATAACTGTCCGAAATGTAACTTGGATAGGAAAGAAAATACAATACTCTGAAGGAGACTCTGCTGGCTGTGGTGCGTCGCATAGAAAGCAGCTCACCTAAGTCCCCGCCATAATCGCTCCTCTACGCCCACAAGGCCGCTAAACATATGTGTACCTACACAAAAATATGCAACAAGTGTAGTATAAGTACGTAAATCAACGCATACCCAGTAAGTATCCCGCCTAACCTTGAAGAAGTAGTGACGAGGGGTCGACTTCGACACTTACTAGCGGTCCAATAATATCAGGTACAG